CGAACATCCTAGACAATTTGCGCTTCCCTTTGCATTTTCACAAAATCGATTGTCGCTCAACCAAATGTCAATTCGTTTAAACTTAACAAACAGGCAATTTATCAGATCTGTATAGATAGCGGGTTAATTTATATTTTAATCCTTCTCGCGGAGACAAGTACATCGACCATATTTTTTTTATGCACGATCTTCCGCGCGATGCTGTAATGATCAGACGATGCAAAAGTGCAATCGAGAAAGCAATAGTGAAAGGTAAACTGCGTGGGCGATAGTCGCAGGTGCGCAGAGGTACCAGGCGGCTCAGGGCCGGGGTGCACCGACCCTCTCTTGCCCTTTTTTGTATCAGCAATTCCGCGTCAATTCCATCGCATCTTACAGGGACGTAAGCGGACAGCTGCCGAAACTAAGTAGCTTTCAAGTTTGTAATGAATAGAGAGAATGAGATGAAAGGAACACATTATCTAAAAAAAATCTGTCGTTTATTAACATGTAGCGCAAAGAAATGTGTTTATATAAGAAAGAAGTTACTTAGTCACCAGTGACGAGTAAAAATTAAAACAGGGAACTTGTAGTCAACTCAACTGACATATTCCTTTATTTAGCAAATACAACGTTTCGATCATATTTTTGGGTCCTTTTCAAGTGGCACTGAGTCATCGTCGTCCATAAGACAGAGTCACATTATAAAAATACAAGTACATATGACCACTGTGGATGCTCGATTCGAACATCCAGTGTACTTGTATTTTTATAATGCGACTCTGTCTTATGGACGACGGTGACGCACTTAGTGTCACTTGAATCCAAAAATAGGGTCGAAACGTTGATTTGCTAAATAAAGGAATATGCCAGTTGGGTTGACTACAAGTTCCCTGTTTTAATTTTTTATGTTTATATACTTATAAAAGTTAGGATAACATTAAAATCGTCACTTGCGATCGCCAGTGATGATTAAAAATTAAAAGTGAGCTTATTGTCAACCCAACGTTACCTACGAATCAGTTCAAATCGAGCCTCGGTAATGTTCGGATGTGTGCAAATTTTTATCTTTTGATTCTATCCCACGGATGACGATGACTTGGCCATGAATTTTTCTTGTTTTCTTATTTGGTTCGTTAATTAATTTTCTTTTCTTTTTACTAGATGACTAAGTAATAATTTTAATCTCTTATATTTTATTGATTTGCAGTATTGTCGCTTGAAAAGGACCTGAAGTAAGGTCGAAACGTCGTAACGAATTCAATAAAATTTGCCCAGTTGGGTTGGCAATAAGCTCACTGTTTTAATGTTAAAATAATTAGGAGAACAAGGCACTGTTAGAAATTAATAAGAAAATTTGCGAGAAAATGAAAAATAAGTATACAGATTACCAAGAAGTCGAGATCAGGTTTTCAATTCCGCGTTTTCAATTCCTGTCCGATATACTCGTCGACGAGGAATAATCTCACGCGATACAACGTCATATTAATTATTAACACGTCACGTAAGTAGTTATTTATATCTGCACGATTTGCGTACCCGATGACGTTCTTTCCTCACGCGCAGCGCGTACTCGCGCGTAATTTATATCGCATATCCTTTCGATAATTCTACCACCTACGATTCGCGTACGAGATCGTAAACAAACAAGTCCCCCGTTGCACACGTGTTGCAACAATTCCCGGCTTGCAATTGCAAACTGCGTCGTGCTTATCTCTGCGCAAAAGTCGTGCGGCGCGTCAGGACTTTCGGTTAATTTCGCAAACGTCGGACGGTCACTGGGAGAAATCTCGTGGATAAAAACCAATTTGTCTTCGATTTTTATTAATACCATTACCGATTCTTTTACCAAAGCTCCTGGAATATATCGCTGTATTTATGCACAAACTGCGCGAAATATCGCGCGGATTTCGTTAAAGCGTACATGTAGAGACGTAAAAGTAGAATTTTTCAACTCTCTAAAAGTCAATCAGTGGATTATCACTTATAAGTCTACTTCTGCGATTTTCAGTAGTATACTTCCCGAGTCGAAATTGTGGCCCTATGTTGAGCCTTTAATTATATTATATAGTAGGACCTAAGACAGTAAAAGAGATCGAACTGCGAGTACAGAATTTACTCCCACTTAAAAACTGATAGTGTCAGAAATTTCTACTTTTGCCAATGTAGCATTAAAGTAGGTCCTTTTAAGTAGGAGCTAAGGTAAATTTTTAGAATTAAAGATTCAAGAGAGGAGTAAAAAATATGTCATCAAAGTAGGTTATTGCTGATCTATGTAGGTGTAAATTATCCTTAAAAGTGTCAAAATACTACCAAAATTTCGACTCGGGTTTTAACTGTGAATCAGTGACTATTTACTGTTTCCGGTGATAATCCACTGATTGACTTTTCAAGAGAAGGCATTTCAACTCCTCAATGTGCTTAAAAAGTGCTATAGAGAAAAAAATACGTATCTCTTATTTTGATCTACACGTATCCGGAGCTGATCCAAATTCGAAAGGCATACTTGGCGTGCTTCCTTGTTAGCAATAATATATCGAGGTGCCTTGGTGCACTCTCATAATTCTATTCGTGTAATTGCGTCCGCGATGATTTATGTACGCGGCCATATCGGTTTACGACCGCGGTCGTAATGTGGATCGGTGTAACATTACGCGAAGAATCGGGTGAACTTTCGCGCGGTACGCGCATAAATTGGTTCGACAACGGATAGAGCTCGAACTTTTATAGGCTGCGCGATTTGCACCGAAATCCATTTTATGATACGTAAATTTATGTCGAAAATTGTATTTTCAAATCCGATCTACTAGGTGTAGACTTGCCACCGTGCCATCGATTTTATGTTAGGCTGAATTTTCTCGCGCAGTGCCATGAAAGTTGCTTTCGTTGAGACATTTCTGTACTTAGGTATATGACTTTTTCTACTCTAGTGATGTACAGTGTCTTGAGAAGAGAATAAACACGAGGAGCTAATCTTTTTTATGCAATCTGATTAAATTTACATAAAACGCGATGAAGTAAAATTTCAGAAGTGGAAAAGTGAAGATTTTGGGAAATGTGGTCTTAAAATTTTCTGCTTTACATGACGATATTTTCCGAGGCAAACAAACGTGTAAATTTACGAAACGTTAATTTAGAGCGTGATCGATTCTTTCTAAGAGCTTTGCACGCCGATCGGTGTCGTGGCCGCTGGTCCCCGGCGCAAACGCTTGGTGCCTGATCGACGGCATTCCTTAGCTGGACGTCGTTCGTAATATATATTTGCATTAATAGCCGCAATACAAATACTATTCACGGCAATGCCTCGTGCTGTTCCGACCGTGTCGAGAGAACTGTAACGCGAAAGCGAATTCATTTCCTTAATTATTACACTGTAATGTGAGCGTCACATGACTTAGGCCCGGTTTCACCAAAACGTCGCTTAACTTTAATCTTAGTTTAATTCACGTTCGTCTCTTTCTAAAGTGTAAAACAGTTGGAAAGAGACAAAGAACGAATTAAGCTAAGCTTAAAGTTAAAAAACGTCGGTGAGACCGGGCCTTAATAATACTCGCGCGGACGACAGGCTTTCCAGGGCGTGATTTCGACAGTCATTGATCCGCGTGGATGTCATCAGCCACAGGCAATCGTGACTCGATCTGTTCGATAACGAAGCGACGAGACGCGACGATCCGATTTGTTTCGCTGCACTTCTGCGACGCAGACTCGATTTTTCACCATTTTTTACGACAGTTCTCTGGTCACGGTAACATCTGAAAGCATCGTCCGGTTTCGCAAGAGCGAGGTCTGTGCTACTGCGATGGCACGGCTGGGGTTCGCGATTGCATTCGTCGCAGCCGCGGGATGTAACGTTCACGTATCCGACAGATCGAAACGCGAGTGTCCTTCGGGGTGAGACGAATTGTCGCGAGACTGCATGGGTCGCGGGAATTATTCTTGTCGCGACTTCTGTAGGAATCATGCGTCCCTTCCCTCTGATCGCGCGTACTTGGAGCGAATACATTGGTTCCCTCTTTCCCTGCACACGGTGAAAGAAGAACATTCAATTTAAAAAGATATATGAATTATATATATGCTTTATTACCTTTAGCATACAGCCAGAAAGTGGGACTTGGTTTACAAAAGTTCCTTAACCACTCATTCATCCTTTATACTCTCATTCATACTCTCTCTAATCTCCTACCCCTAATCTCTTTTCCTTCGTATTTCTTACTTCTAATTAAGATATATGAATTATATCTTTTTAACGCGTCCTACACGGAGAGAATTTTCTTTAAGTTTTAAAAGAAAGAGACACCGTTGATAAATCTCAGATTGATACTTGGCACATCTAGATTGATGTTTAAAATATTTTTAGCTTATTAATAGTACGATAAAAATCCATAGCATTCGATTTAATTTCGAATGAAATAATTGAGATAATAATTATTTTCACTGATCGAACGGAATTTCCTCGTCAGCCCATTAGACGGTGTGCTCAGTTTTTAAAGGACCGCAAGGTTTCTTTATCACGAAAATAGTAAAAAGTACTAGAAAGTGACGTTAAAAAATTAAGTTAAATTATAATATAAAATATAATATAATTAAGTTAAATTATAATATAAAAATGAGAAAATATACAAATAGTATAAATACTGCATTTTATGTGACTGAAAAGTATATTCCTTTTACGATCAGAGACGTCGTCTCTGCGACCCTAAAGATTAAAATTGTTATGACGTCAGGGAAGGTCGAAAATGAAATATCTCGGGTCTAGTTTCGCCGGAAAATTTCTACGATGAGCTTTCATGAGACACGCTGATCAATTGATCTTTATACTAAGCTCGTGTAACGAGCAGTCTTATATAATATACATGTAATTGACGCGCGAGAACGTTTATTAAGTCGATTTTTTTTTTTTTCCTTTGCCGTTCTCCACGCAGCCATGAGGGGATGAGCACTGGAGCAGGAGATGGAGGTGGAGGCGGTGTCGGAGGTATCCAGAGCAGCGGCGGTGGCAGAAACACCCCGCCGCATGGCTCGCCCACCCCCATGGATAAGGCGACCTTAAAAGTCCATCTTCCCAACGGTAAGTTATTCCATCCCGAAACACCTCGTCAAAGAACCCGTTGCGTTAGCCGAGAAAATTAAGGGACCAGTGTGACGCTTCTCGTTAGAAATAAAATCGTCTCGCCGATCAGTATATTATTATTACTTTCTTATCTTCTCGAATATTTGGTTTTTCATTTGTAAATGTTGCGTCAGCCTAAAGATAAAAATTGTGTAGATTTCTCCACTCTTTATTTATTCCTTCTCTCCTTTCAAGAATCGGAGCGAATTTATATCCCGCTGTAACATCGAAATATACTCCGAAAAACATGGTGGTTTATCAATTCTATCGTTCACTTATCAATACCGCAATTCAGGTGGTTTTAACGTCGTCAAATTCGGTGATGCGATCGACGTACGAGGTATCATCTCTTTGGTAACTAGTCGATTAGCTGTTGGTACCAGACATTATCGAAATCTGTACGCAATGAGGCTGCACCATCCCGGATCCGGAGAGAGTTATTGGTTGCATCAGGATACTACGATGTATCAGGTATTTACGCGTATCCGGCGTATCGGTATATTCTGTTTCTCGCAATTTCCTCGACGCATTTGTCTCAGGTACAAGAAAAGTACGAGCGAAAGCACCCGCATTGCGAATGGAGGTACGAGCTTAGAGTGCGTTACCTTCCTCAGAACCTAAATGATCTCTACGAGAAGGACAAGGTCACGTTTTACTACTATTACGACCAGGTACGACGTTACGTCAATCGACGATTAAGCGAGATATTTAACGTTTCCGAATTAAACTGCAAATAACATTTTTACCTGTACGCATTTAGGTGCGAAACGACTACCTGCTTGCAAACCACGCCACTCTGGATCAGGATGTTGCGGTTCAGCTCTGCTGCCTGGAGATTCGCTATTTTTTCAAGGACATGCCGCAAATAGCCCTGGACAAGAAGAGCAATCTGGAATACCTAGAACGTGAGGTAGAGTCCCCGGCGATAAATTTTGCCCCGTGACAATAACTTGGATTTCACAGCAGTATAGTCTGCATCCATTCATCCCCTCCACTGTGCAAAATATAAAAGAAACATCTCTTCCACACACAGGTCGGTCTACATAAATTCTTACCGCGTTCCGTGCTGAACGGGATGAAGCCGAAGGCGCTTCGAAAATTGATACAGCAACACTTTAAAAAAGTTGCGGCGTTGTCCGAACTCGAGTGCATGTTTAAATTCTTCGATCTGCTGCGGGCGCACTATCGATTCGACCAGGAAAGGTTTATATGCGCCTTAGGGGTAAGCAATAGTACATGGAAATCTAGTGTATATTTAGTTTCTCTGATAAAAATTAATTTTTGAGCGACAGAAATGAGAAAAAAATTTATGCCCATATATAAGAATTAATATATTCCCTTGCATTTATAATATTCAATATTTAGTCTTATTTACAACTATTCTACAACTTGCAGTCAAGCTGGTCAATACCTGTAGAACTAGTCATCGGACCGGACTTAGGTATATCGTACATGGCTCATCGAGGCGGAACAGTGGTACGTTTTCACACATGTACCTATCTTTTGCATTATACATATTGTTTATAATATAATTTGTGTAGTTTGTGTGTAGTATTTTTAAGATAAAAAAAGCATAACTCTATAATTAATTTTACGAAATAAAATTTCGATTACAGCCGACTAGGATGGCAGAATTTTCGCAGATACAATCCATTCAAACATTGGTGTCAGATTGCAAAGAACACGCGAAGGCGTGCATTAAATTGAGAGTCGCGGGTGCTGCGGAGACTCTCAGTATCACTTGTTCAAGTCTGGATCAAGCGGAAAGTCTCGCGGACTTGATTGATGGATATTGTAGACTGGTCACAGGCAGCAACACTTCATTGTGGAACAGAAAAGGTAAGAATAACAGTATTATTGTTGCTGTTACGAGAGAAAATTCAGGAACTTCTATCTTTGACTTTGTCAAAACTATTTAAAAGAAGATACGTGAATTGTTTCTTTAAATTACTTTGTAAAAGCTTGCTCTGCTAATGTTAATAAAGTATATTAAGTCTCTCTTTATTCTGTATTCGCAAGCTGGATCATGGAAGAATTATCCCTGTCCATGCAAAGGTAAACAAACCAGAAATGCGCCGTTTTACATACGTTTGAATACTTTGTGACACCATTATTTTATTTACACATGTGCAAAATATGATTTTAATTGTAGATGCGCAACCGCCGAAATATAGGCAAGATGGTGCCAGCAGCCCAGCGGAAAAGAACGCCGGTAAAACTGGAACTATTTTATCCGAAGATTATGCGGAGATCGTCGACGAAGAGGGAGATTATTCGACACCAGCTAGTAAGTGTTTTCATGGCATACTTTAATACGACCATAATTGAGAATGTCTAAAAATATCATTAGAGTATTTTTTCATACTCTATATACGATACTATCGAACTATATTTCTTCTTATATTTTGATTGTAATACGCGACAGAGAGGCTCAAGTCGGTAAATTTTCTTTGCAGCTCGAGATTACGAGATAGTCCGAAATCAAGTAGAATTGGGAGAAATCATAGGGGAGGGTCAGTTTGGTAACGTCCATAAAGGATCGTACAAAGGAAGAGATGGTCAAACCATTGCCGTTGCTGTCAAGACTTGCAAGGTCGATGCGGATCTTGCCACTGCCGAAAAATTTCTTGAAGAAGCTTGTACGAAAAATCTGTATTATAAATCACATATTCGTTATAAAATGAAATCGACGTATAAACGTGGGTATATAGGTTCTACATAGTCTTATGAAAATAATTTTAAATTTCAGATATAATGCAGCAATTTGAACATCCGCATATTATCAGATTGATCGGAGTCTGTTCAGAGGCGCCGATTTGGCTCGTGATGGAATTAGCCAGACTCGGAGAAATGCGCGCTTATCTACAATCTAATAAACACCGCCTGGATCTCGCTACACTTCTACTGTATACCTTCCAATTGAGCACTGCCCTCTCGTATCTCGAAAGCAAGAAATTCGTGCACAGGTAGCTACGATCAAAGCGAAATCTATTTGTTATTTCATTATGTGAAAATCGCAGTCTAACATCCGTGCTCTTTTCATTGTAGAGATATCGCTGCAAGAAACGTGTTGGTTTCGTCGCATAATTGCGTCAAATTGGCGGATTTCGGCCTTAGTAGATGGGTAGAAGATCAGAGTTATTATACCGCTAGCAAATGTAAGCTGCCAATTAAGTGGATGGCACCGGAGAGCATAAATTTTCGAAGATTTACAACTTCGTCCGACGTTTGGATGTTTGGTTAGTTTTTTTTAACATTAAATACGTTTTAAGAGCTTTCTTTCCTATTAATTTAATTATTAATATCAATTTTGTATTTTAAAGGAGCTACGCTAATGAAATTTGCTCGTTGTTCCAGGTGTATGTATGTGGGAAATTTTAATGTTAGGCGTAAAACCATTCCAAGGCGTGAAGAATAACGAAGTGATACGCAAGCTGGAGAACGGAGAGAGACTGGCGCTTCCCAATCACTGTCCGCCGCGATTATACTCTCTAATGTCTCAGTGTTGGAGCTACGAACCCAGCAAGAGACCGACGTTTAAAGAGATTAGAGAAACTCTACAGTGAGTATTTGAATCGTTTGTAAAACTGTAAACGTTCTTTCTAAATTATTATTCTTTTAAATCATAGTGAAATTTTGCTGGAAGAGAAACATCAGCAGCAGGAGACGATGAGACGAGAGAACAGAAGGGTACAAGCCATGTCCTGGGGTATGTAGGAAATTGTCTATAATAGCAATGAGTGGTTAAATCTTTTAGCGAACGCACGTCATTGTCAGATATCGGATATATCTGTAAAATAATCCGTCTTACAGGTGCAGATGATGTTCCGCCACCGAAACCCTCCCGGCAACCGCAAAATACAACGGAGCAATCGCAGTTATCAGTGGCACCGGTATCCACGTACATTGTGGCGCAAAGTCCCGAGGTTCTCGCGCAACTTCTCAAGGACAACCAAGCTAGAGGGGTATGTCCCTCCGTGTACACGACACCCGCGTCCCCCTTCAACACCCTGGCGGTGCAATTTCAGGAAGAGGATCAAATCCTGACCACCGCCGTTGTGTCCGATTTACCCTTCTTTGATCCCGCGCTTTCTGAACCGCCGTCCATGGTGACACACGACACCACCCAGTCGGGCGGTGATTCCATCCTGTCCGATACGAACCTAGACTCCCTGGATTCCTCGGACAACATTCCCCTCATGTCGAGCCTGAGCATTTCAGACACGACAGCGCAGACGCAGTCGCCCGCCGCCAACCGAAAGCAGCAGAAGGTTAAAGAGATGCAAAACTTATATGCGGTTAGCTCGAAGGTGGTCGGTAGCATCACGGGGGACCTGTATTCCCCCGTGCAGAAATTCTCCGTGTCCAGCGCCGTTCCGCCGCCACCCGCGGCCGCGTCAGTCGTGTCAGCCGCGGTCGCGGGCAACACCTGCGGCGAGATATACGGACCGGTCACTAGTTTCACCCAGAGCTCAGCTATCGTTGGTAATCTCAGTCAAAGCGCTAGCTTAGGTGGTAATTACGGTGAGAATTCTGGCAACTTCGGCCCTAGTAGTTTGGGTAGCAGTGTTATAATACCGAATAGCAGTAGCCAGACGCAGTTCGCCGCAAGTGGTCCGCATGCTCTCAGTCAGTCGATTAATTACGGTAACTTCGCAGCTGGTAACAATACAAGCCAAGTATTTGGTAGCGGTGGCGGTCAATCTACAAGCCTACAGAATGTTAGCGTGCAGAGTGCTGGCGGTAGTAGTAGCGGCGGCGGCGGTGGTGGTGGTGGTAGTAACGTTATTTACTCTCGTAATATTAGCTCGGCGAATGTAGGTAGTTGCGCATCGAGTGCTGAATGTTTGTACGGTCCGGTACTCAAGTTCCGCGCGCAAAACGCCCAGCCGCAGCTGGCTGTAGCGGCGACCGCGACTGTGGCCGCGAGCGAGTTGAAACCCGTTGGCGCGGCAGCTGGGAATTACGGTCAAACCGGAAGAAGCAATCTGGTAGCGCAGAATCTGCAATCGCAGCCGATATACCCGCAGAATTATCCGCACCAACAGATCTATTCGAATATCGCTCAGCCGGGAGCACAGCAGCCTATGTATCTGCTACAAATGCAGCACGTGCAGAATATCACGCGGCAGAACGCCGTTCCCCAGGCCGTGTCCTACGCGGCGATACAGCACTCGAACCAGTCTCAGCAGTCTCAGTTGACCGGCGCCACTCCCATTTACACGGCCCACGCTGCGTCCGTGTCGGTGGTCCAAGCACAGAAGGTGCACATGCCGAATTATGTTCACCAAGCTCAGCCCGGAATTAGCGGCCAGCCAGCGACTTGTCAAGCAACCGGCGCGAATCACTCGGCGAGCGTTGGGATAATGCAAGCTTCCTCTGTTCCATCACACTTTGTCATGTCGTCTTCGGCGACTCAGCAGAATATCCATTCGATTCCATCCACCTACGTGGTAGACCAACAGCAACCGAGCTCCCTTGGTTCGATTGATTATACTCAAGCACACGTTGGCAATGTAATGACGAGCATAACCGGTGCGCATCAGCAACACGTCGTAGTTCAACCTCAGATGGCTAGCGGCGTCGCGAAGGCGGGAAATATGTCGCAAATCGTGACGGGCATCGCCAAGATCACCACCTTCGTGACACCACAAAAGCAGGACGAGCAGTTGACTAGCTCGACCGACGGCACTCTCTCTGGCTCTCTAATCTCTTCCGCTGTCAGCGACAGCACCGTATCGTCTAGCAGCTCGATGACAGAGGAGGCACAACAAGATCAGGTTTGACCATGCCTCCTAGGAATGTGACAAACGCATCTTCTATATATTTGCCACGCCCACGTCTTGTTTTGGTTTTTTTATCTGGTCCGCACTTTCGCATCACTCTACACCTCGGTTACAAGTCAGATGTATATTCATATTACGCGCTTCTCTGGTGTATGCAAGACACGTACGCACTGGCTCACAAACGGATCTTCTATTTTGTTGCAATGCGATCGGAGAGACTTATCTTTCAGCGGAAATCTTTATTTGCCGCTCAGTAGGCTAATTTTTGCATGAAGAATGGATGTCACTGATGAATTGCTACCAGTATAATTATTTAAACTGCATGTAGCGAGTACGCGCGAATGCACTACCTCTATTTTGAATTTAATTTGTATCTCGAGAAATATGCGTCTCTTTAATTTTTCCTGTATATATGTACGTGTATATTATCGAGAAACGACTGTAACAT